GTAGTTTTTACGGTTTTTACAAATTGGAGTGGTTTTCATTTGATCGCTCCTCTATATATATGTATATATATATGATGAATTAAACTGACACATATCTCTTGCATTACTGAATCCTTGATCTCTAAGAAGGGTGGGTTACAAAGTATTGCTAGGTTTGTTTGATGAGACTTGAACCCTTGATCTTTAATAAGGTCGGGTTACCGTTTGGTGAGACTTGAATCCTTGATCTCTAATAAGCAGTGACGGACCTATAGTGGTGCATACGGTAGCACGTGCCACGTATTATTTCTTCGTCGAAGAGTAAAAAAATTTAGATTCGTGAAATGTGCACCGTATTAATCTGTTGTGTGTCATCTTATGTATTTTGAAATTACAATGAGAACAAGTTTTATTTGATAGAGTTGGTTTGCAAGGCTTTTGTTCCACTCGATCCATGTTCGAATCATGTTTGTGTCATTTTTTGTCAAATAGTGCCACCGGTTGAAAAAAATTTCGTATATTTGTTTCTTATAGTCAAATTGTGCCACCGTTTGAAGAAAAAAAAAATCGGGTTCGTCCTTGCTAATAAGCCTGGGCTACAAAGTACTATTAAACTTGTGTGGTGAGATTTGAACCTTTGATCTATAAAAATGTTGAGTTACAAAACGCTCGTTAGGTTATAAAGTACTGTTAGGTCAAACACCTTTTGGCAACATCATGAACTTAGCTCAAGGGTTTGTATTTTTGAGAGCATGTTTAATAGATTTTCTAAAATAGAGAAAATACAAAACTACGTTTTTCATCCTTGTGGTTTGTTGAAATTGCTTTTTTTGTCCTTGTATTTGTGGAACTACGGTTTTGTAGTTTACGTATCGTTGCTTTTCTCGTGTCTATTGTTTACAATTTATTGTTTTTTCGTTCTTATGCTTTATAATTGTTTTGCTATTTTCGTCTTTCATACTTAATTGTAATGAATTGTCTAGAAACATAAACAACTGTATAAATTGCAAACAATATGGACGTAAATCGTAATTTCAAAAGTATAAGGACGAAAATTGCAATTTAAGCAAACCACATGAATGTTATTATCTAAAACAGAGAAAACTCCGAGTTTAAAGAATTCTCTAAAAAGATACGTACGAATTACGAGTAAAGCGTAGTTCTTTTATTATGAGGGGTATAGAACAGGTTCAAGTTTGAATCCTGTTACGGGAGGCGAACTTGAACCCTTCTATCAGCCTAAGCCACCGAGTCAACTCTAAAATGCCTCCTAACATGTGATTACATATGGTTCTTAGGGGACAGGTTCCGTGTGGGACATATCAGGGTTGCTAATAATCTACCTTTTGCTCATATATATTCTATATTATATTATAAAGCATTTGACAAAAACTCTTAAAAACAATTATTTATACACGAAATACTGTTTATTGATGCATATTACTTAAAATTTATGATTACATGTAAATTGTGCATAAGTACAACTTATTAAAGCTCCATATTTGAATTCATGTAATTAACTGCAGATAAAAATAATCAAATATAAGATAAACATCTCATTTTAAATATAAAAAATCTAAAATATTATTAAACCTAAATCAAATTTCTTTGTTACTAAATCTAAATTAAATTATAATCAAAAATTGAATTAAGGAAATTACACCAATACACAAGAACTTTTAAAAAAGTTAATTTGATACTGATATCGGTATCGGTGTATATTTTTTTTCCAAATTTTATAATATTTTTAAATTTATATTTTATTCAAAAATAAAAACATTATCGTTTTCTCAAAACCACATAAAATCGTATTATATCGACATAAAAAATGAATAAAATGAAATTTTAACGAAATACTAAAATAAGATATATCTCGATATATTGCACGAGTACCCTTCTAATAATTTATAAAAGCAAACAGCTTTGTTAATCTTGTGTTCAGATTTTTACGCATCTTATCAATCAAAAGTGAAATTAGACTTCAGATTTTAAGGCACGTCTAAAAATAGAAAATTATTTTATATATTATTTTAAAATATTTTTATAATTGTGTATATAAATTCAAATCTATAACTCAAAAATGCAAATATATTCTACATAACCTCCAAACAGAAATAACCACCCAATATCCTTAACCAGCAAAACAAGCTCTAAAGGGTTTTCAAGACTCCATCAATGGCGGCACAAAGGGTGCAAAAACCCCTCTTCTACATTACAAGTCTGAATTCTCCATTTTCAGGCAACCATCGGCCGGCCGAACACCGCCACTGCCGCCTCGTTTTTACTTACCGGAGTCGGACCACCGCCATGTTTCCGCCTTCTTGTTTCCCACACGAAACCGCCATCTGAAGCCGCAGCCTGTATGGTTAGTGCACGAATGCCGTCCAGTTGAGACCCTTTTTCTGTAGTTCGGGAAAATCCAGACCCTGTGTCGCACGATGCTTTTGTCGATCCTTTAGACGTACATGAATACGCACCACCACCACCACTGCTGCCACCGGCCTTCACCTCGGTAGGAGGAACTGCTTTACCGAAAGCGGCTTGTTCTCGGCAAGTTTTCCGGGCTCGTGTCGGATTTCTCGAAGCTCCCGATGCCCGAACTATGCTGCCAACGGGATTCTTTCTGTAATCATAGAGGTCGAAATCACTCGGCATTCTCCATCCGAAACACCAATTAGTTAAAAGAACTCACCTACAGGATTCAGCACGGATCTTTGCATCGATCTCTTTGTTTGGTGGGTACTTCGGCAAGCTTGCGGGATCGCACGCATACGGCTTCGTATTGAAATACTGTTTTAAGACAAAAAAATATATGTTAATAAATCATACAATAAATATATAAACATTATCAACCTCGAGCCAATAAACGAACTAATCGATCGGGAGTTCGAGCCCGTAAATGAGCATCGAGCTCAAGGTCGATAACCCAACAAATATTCGAGCTCGAGCCCTACCATGAATTTACGTGAATATCATGATAATACATACCATAATGAATGTACATCAACATTCATTCATGATGAATATCAGTTCTCAAGATATTTACAGTTGTTAAATGAATTTGTGCCGAGTTCCTTGATAGATTCGTGTAGTTCTACAACGTACCTCGGATCGAAGGGCGGATCTAGCCGTCCCACGCTTGCAAGGCTCTACTGAAAGGAAAGTGTCGAGAAGGTCAACCGCGGTTTCCGGGAGGTCCTTACATCTTTCCCGAAGCGTACTCTCGTAAGCGTGATGCGGTTTAAACATCGCTGCAAGCGGAAGTTTCGACTTGTTCCAGTAGCCATCGTCGGCAGGCGTGCCACAAAGCTTGAATATTTTGTGCAATTGTTCAACCTGAAAACATCAGGGGCGGTTTGGTAGATGCAGAATGATTAAGTGATCGGAATTATCAAGAGGGCATGTATGACTCAGTGCAGAATGAGAAATGACATAATGAAAAGAGACTCTGTATGATTTAATCACAGAACGTTTATAGTTTTCGTATCTTTTTCACCTCCGTACGCCCCTTTAGGATCGGTCGGCCAAGAAAGAGCTCGGCGAAAACGCACCCGATGCTCCAAAGATCAACATACATCCCGTATCTCGTGCACCCCAAGAGGAGTTCGGGAGGCCGATACCACAAAGTCACCACATGGCTAGTCAACGACCGCTTGCTCCTTGGAGCGTGGAAGTTCGCCAAACCAAAATCGGCAATCTTCAGAAGCCCTTCGTTGTTCACCAAAATATTTGCCGTTTTGATGTCACGATGTAGAACTCCTAGTGAATGGCAGTGTTCGATACCGTTCAATAATTGCCTCATATAGCATTTAATCTGCACCAAAAAAAGGGCAGAATGCATCAAAATGCAACAAAGTTTGGTTTAATTTCTATTTAGTGTAGCAATTTTTTTTATATAATAAAGTTTCAAAAAATTATATTTTGTACTTATTTTGACCCATAACCTGTTGATCTCGTAACATTTGGTGACGTGGATACCCCTTTACGAAAGGGTTACGGCACATAGGACGATAAGCTTGACATCCACATCATCAAATATTACGAGATCAGCAGGTTATCCGTCAAAATGGGTACAAAATAGAAAATTTTGAAACTTTATTGTATAGATTGAGGAAAAAAAATATTTGCTACACTAAATAGTAACGAAACCAAACTTCGTTCCATTTTGCCCGCACCAAAAATAACCTCGTTAGGCTACATTCAAGTTCCGTTAGACGTTGAAAATGTGAAGTTTCGACAAGTTACATGTCACGAAACCTGGGAGTCGCTGAACTTGATGTCGGGGGATGACAAAAGTCCCGAGAGATCGTGCTCCATATATTCGAACACAAAGTATATGTTACGTGATAATCGGGATGTGATTATCCCCTCGAGTTTCATGACGTTTGGGTGGTCAAGCCTTCGGAGAATTGTGATTTCTCGAGCCATGAACTTCACGCTCTCGGGTTGCAAATTGTCGAACCGCACCTTCTTCAGTGCCACCGTTCTACCGGTCTTGGTGTCGCGTGCTCGATAAACGCTACTGTATGTGCCTTGCCCAATCTACATTAGAAGAAAATCCAAAAACGCAGGTTCGATTTCAATTTCAATTTCGATAGGTGCCCTTGAATCAAGAAATCTTGAAATTTCAGTATTAATCATCCACGAAATCATGAATTAAACTCATGATCAGAGATATGATAAATTCATCATCTGAGTCATGTTTAAATCAGAACCGTAAATATTTTGAGAATCTGAGAACCAACTATTCATGTTTTATTTATGACGAATGTCGTAGGAGCAAGCCAGAAAGTAGAGCCATATGGTTCTTTAGCCTTAAGAACGTTAGTTTTAAGAACGAGTGATTGCCTTCTCTGACCCTTACTTCCCAACCTGACAGCTGACAGCTAATGCATTCCACTTATTTTGATAAAAATTATTCATACTCATATATATATATATATATATATATATATATATATATATATATGCATGATTTCATAAATTATGAAAATTCATGATACTAATGATGAGTAACATTCATGATTATTCACTGTATTCATTATGAATAATACATGAATTAGTTGGTTCTTAAAATATTTATGGTTTTTCCCAATGATCAGAGTTGAAGTATGAAAACCCTAGTGGCCACGTGCACTCGCTCTACCGATTTTCACAAGAATTCTACTTGGGGTATAAAACGTGCACAAGCTACACTTCGAAGGGTAGCTTCGAGATATTAGAAACTACAAGAGATATCAACCCAAAAAACCAAAAAGGACTTGAGATCATATGAGACAAAGTTGCTTTTTTTTTTAGACCCATGACACCACATAAATAACATTGAACCTTCATAGCAAAATATTGTCAAGGTACACTTTCACTTTTTTTTTACCTTCACAATGTATTTTGCTGTAAAGTTTTGCCGTTCTTATATGGTCCAATGGGTCTCCAAAAACGTCCCACATGAACCCAACCCGTCAGAAAAGTTCTTTTAGAATTTACAAAAATCAAAAACGTCATTCGAACTCAACCAAAAAAATTAAAAAAAAATCCCTCAGAATCAACAAAACGAAAGATCCCAACCAAAAAGACAGATCCCGAAAGGGTTTTTAAGTCTTTGATCCACCTTAAAGATGTAACCCGTTCAGCAAAAATGGTGGGTCCCACCATCCAGCTTAATTGAATTGCAAAAACAGTTGAAAGCAATCTACCTTTTCCAATCTTTGGAAGGTATCGGATTTCAATGGCAACCAACCATGAATGGCTTCACCTGCAACTTCACTAAGCCACGAAGGCCATCCAGCAGCAACCAGTTCTGCTTCACTTAATCTTCCAAATTTCAAATTTGAAGATTCACCATCGATACCAACGTGATTCTTCTTTTCGTCCTTGATTTTGGTCGATGGATCAATCTGGTGACCATGGTTCTTCAGTGAAGGACCCTGCGGCGGACGTCCGTGATAACTTGAAGACCTAACTTCATGTTTGGAACTGATGCAACCCATTAGATTCATCCAAACAAAACCCATCAAAGGAATTGATGCATTTTGGGTTCTGAAACAAGAGAAAGGGGGGAATCAAGAAATTTGACCCAAAATTGAAAGAAAAAATAATTTGTATTTGGAATCTGGGTTTGGCGAGATATACGGAAAGAGAATGATTTGAAAGAAAATAGAAAAAGCGACATTTGTGGGTCCAAATTGATCGATCTCCATTTTCGTAACAGTAGGCTTTTTAAGATATATAGATACATGATTTTATATATATATATATAGAGAGAGAGATATAGATACATTCATGATTATATAAATTTGGGATCACGTGAGACCAAGGGTTTTCGTGAAACCCATAAGACCAATCCTCAACCCTTGGATTAGATCTACAATTTGAATATTCATAATCACAAAATTATTATCATGCAACTTTAGACTATTAGATCATTAGCTTATAAAGTTGATCAATGAACATAAATTGATCTTACGGGTCTCACGAAAAACCCTTGGTCTCACATGAACCCAACCCTGATTATATATATATAGGGTTGGCCCAACCTACTTTTATCATACATTCGAGACAACATTTTTACGCTTGAAACTTCGTAACAAAATGTTGTGAAGATAACAAAAATCCGAACCTTCACATTACCTACAAAGTGTTTTGCAGTGAAGTTTCAAGTGTAAAAATATTATCATACGAAAACAATCTCTCACATGATCTCAAGTCTATACATACATATTATACAAATGGTTTCGTTTACAAATCAATCTCAATCGTCCGTCTAACCTAATGAATATCTGATTCAATTAATATATAGATTGTTTTCAAATATTCAAATTATGCAAATCTATAAATATCTCAATTAATTGGTTTGATGTACAAATCGGAGATGATAACTTGAAAAATGTATCACAGTTTTTGGGCCCAAATGAGCTCACAAACTGTTCACTAATCAAGCAATTGGTTCTTATTTTGCATGTAGATTTGAAAAGTGGTGTGTGTGGGGTTTGGCAGTTGAGCAATCACCAAACCCTCTACTACTACTTTTGGTGGTTGATTTTAGGTCTGGTGGTTCCAAATCTCTTTTTCCTCATTGGCCCTCAAATCCAATCATTGTTTCTTCATCTACCAATTTCACATTTTGCTTCAACAGCTATGCTAAAATATTAATTATATATTTAATAAAAATAGTATTTCTCTCTTCTAAACATTTAACATCAATGTTTTTTATGATTGAGAATATAATATAAAATTATTTCTTATATTATTATTTTTAAGGACAAGATTGGTAAATTACTAAACTACCTGTTTTAAATTAAACCTTAAAAAACAATTAGCACACCTACCTCATTCTCGACTGTCCATCGCATTCGCATATACCAAACGACATACGAAAACGATTGAAATACACCGAGCCAAACACAAAAAAGGAAAAAGATTTGAGAGGATATTGAACACAACAAAAACCAATCAAGTACTCAAAATAGGATAATAACCATATCATGCTCCTAATACAACATTCCATGAACACATTTGTCTACCCTTAAATTACATGACACATAAGGTATAGATCTCACTCTGTGTACACAACAAATAGGGCGAGTAACGTGCACGATCGCACACGAACCATTTGTACATACGTATCTTCGATAAACAATCAAATAAGAACGGAAAAAGACGGAGATTTTGATCCAAAATGTACTTTACTTTTCTGTTAGAACCAATATGAACTTTTTGAAACGTGTCTATTTCATTTGATCCACATTACGCGCTTATTTTCTCTTCTTTCATCTGTAAAAGCACGGGTCGTTCGTTGTTCCCAAACTTGGTTTCTTTCCGCTGTGACGGTTTTATAGCTGAACCCTTTTCCGATTTCCCCATAACCCCACCACCGTTGTTGCTATTGTAGCTTCGATGCCTAGATACCGGGATATCGTGATTGTGTTTGCCTTCATATGTCGTTACTACAGATTTGGGGTCGGATGGAGCTCGTTCCACGTGCTTTCTCACGTTGCATCCTGTGTACGTGCATTTGTAATAACTCCTGCAAATTTCAAAACTTCCGTGTAAGCCAGTGGAAACAGTAGTAGAACTTTTTGGGGTAGAAGTCAAGTCTATATACATCTTAGGGGCTAGTTGGTTGGTTTTTCATTAAGTCCTGTATGAATAAAGTTATTTGTGTGAATTAATCTGTGTATGGAATGAGAGAGTTTTTATTTGGGAGGATTTTTTAATAGATTGAAGAAGTGTGTTTTTTAATTGGGAGGAGCAGGATTGAGAAAAACTTGGCTTTCTGCCTAAAGCTCCCTTATAGAAGCTTACTAAATGAGCCACTTTCTATTACTTTAATCCACTGCCAAATAGTCATTTATAGCTGACTGAATAAGTTGAGAATCCCATTAAGCTCATTAAGCCGCTAACAAACAGGCCCTTACCCTCCACACCTCCATAGGTGTGTGTACATCTTACCTGGAGGTAGGGTATGGTTTGTTTAGTTCCTTGAAAAAAAAAGGGAGGTTCCAACATATATGTATAAAAAATGGTCCAAGTCTAGCGATATAGGACTCCAACCCGCCCCCTCCAACAGAGGGGACAAGGCTAGACAGTCACAAATTGTCCTAGAGTGTCGAGAGGGGGCTAGACGAGTACAGATTGCCCCAGAGTATCGAGGCACTAGAGTACCAGATCTTGGCTCTGATAATATGTGGAAACCTCATTAGATTACTCTCCAAAAGAGTTTAAGCAAACCAAAGGGTTCCAACATATATAGATGAGAAATGGTCCAAGTCTGGCAGATGTGGGACTCCAACAAAGTGTTTTCTATTTTCATTAGATCATTAGAGATAACAACATCAAGAAAGTAAACATCCAACATATAATCACCTTGGATTCGTATTCCCCTTCACCACTTTCTGCCCGTATTTTCGCCACTTGAACCCATCATCTAAAAGATCAACTTCACTTCTCGTTTGCACCACAATTTTCGGTTCCGCAACCATTTTGTGAGATGAAGTCGAATCCACAGGCACAGGCGCAGGTAAGGGCAAAGGCGCAGGCACGGGTCCAACATCAGTATTCCTGCATTGCATGAGATAATCATGTTAACCAATGTGCAAAACATTAAATATAACCGAGAATGGGGAACCAAATCTATTCTCTCCAAAAGGGCAAAGAATGGAGGTTCAACATCGAGGAGAAATGGTCCAAATCTAGCCGATGTGAGACTCCAACATAGAATATGTGGAACCCCATCAGATTACTCTCCAAAAGATCCCTCAAGGAGAGAACGAAGGTTCCAGCATATACTAATGATAAAGGGCCCAAGTCTAGCCGATTTGGGACTCCAACACGCCCCCTCCAACGGAGGCTATACGAGTATAAATTGCCCCAAAGTGCCAAGGCCCTAGGTATAGACCTTGCTCTGATACCATGTACGATATGTGGAACCCCATCAGATTACTCTCCAAAAGGGACCTTCAGGAGAGAACAAAGGTTCCAACCTAAAAGAGCCTATGTCTAGCCGATGTGGGACTCCAACAACAACAATTGCATATGTTCAACAATATGAAACATGCCTTCTTTTAGGATTAGGCTCATCATCTGACTCATCAATTCTAATCAATTGGTTCGATCCTTGATCACGAGCTGCCGCTGGTTCTTCCATCACACGTGTTTCTGATTGAGAATGGTTCCGTTTGTTTACATCTGCACCCTCCCGAGCTTGTTTGCTAAGCACCGGTGGCTCATGATTATGTTGACCTTTATACACGATATCGCTAATATGACCATCAAGAGACTGCCCGACCTTCTTCTTCACCGGGCAGTTAACATGTGTGCACTTATAATAGCTACGAGGATGCTCACTTGCTTTCACCTGTTTCTGCCCGTATTTCCTCCAATTGTAGCCATCGTTAGTATCAGAAGATACGGAAATCACATGCCGAGGTTCGCTGACATCAGATTGAGATACCGATAAGTCATCCGGTGACCCAATTTGGGAGTCTTCAAGGTCTGATTTTACATTGACCAACTGCAGTTCTTCCTCAGAAGACGGATTTGCAGGTTGAACATGGTTGAAATAAGATTGAGACATGGCGGCCTGAGCTGTGACGTGAGCCAATGCCTGCTGGTGAGACATCCCAAATGGACTCTGCACGAATTCGAACATATAAGCATGCAATTTATATCCAAAAACAACATCTTCAAATTCTATAACAATGTCCTTTTTGGTCAATGTACATTTATCAACTAGCTTTTCAGTTATTTCTTGCATACAAGTTATCCAAAAACGTCATCTTCAAATTCTACAACAATGTTCTTTTTGGTGATTTTACATTTGTCGACTAGCTTCTCAGTTATTTCTTGCATACAAGTTATCCAAAAACACCTACAACAATATCCTTTGTGGTCATTTTACATTTGTCAACTAGCTTATCAGCTATTTCTTGCATACAAGTTATCCAAAAACGCCTACAACAATATCCTTT